GAGCCTTCACGTCACCAGCAGCGATGATAACTATTCGGCGATCGCCGCAGTGGAGCCAGGCTCGTTCGGCACAGGCTACACCAACACTGACTGGGACGTCGAGTACCAGAGCAGCGTTGATCCTGCGATTCTGAACCGCGCAGAATGGACCAACTTCGTTGGAGCGTTTTTCAACCTCGAAGCCCAGGCCAAGGAGATCTTCTCGACGATTGAGGCGGACTACTTGGCCATGAAGAGTTTAGGCTCGCAGCTGGGCTTGGACTCGAACACCGAGTGGGGTGGGCGTCAGCCTCAGGTGATTTGGGTTGAAGCCCTGGGGGACACGACGTGCGCCGGAGCTGATGACTGCGTCGACGACGGCGACGACGCCATCATCGGTTGGACGCAGCCTGGAGGCGCTGGCAGCAACTGGTGCAAATGCGGGGGCTGGCAAATCAACACCAATCATTACAAGAAGAATCTCGTGGAGGACGCCGGCGGGAAGCTGGTGGCTCTGCCGCAGACCACCCCAGACGGGTGCGTGACCTCGGTGGGCACGGACGGCTCGGCGAGGCTCGGGTGCGGCGGAGAGAAAGGCCTCGCGTCCTTCAGGGCCTTCCTGGCGGAGGCCGACGTCATTGTCGACGAGACCTACATCTCTGGACACGACACCGCCGCCCACGACTTCGCGGGCTCCTTCTACGTGACGGCGGCGGATGTGCCGGCGCTCGCCCGCGACCCCGTCAACATCTTCCGCGCCGATGGCACCGTCAGCGACAGCAGGGGCGGGGCCGTCGGCAGCGCGTGGTTCGATTGGGGGCAGGCCGAGCCGCAGCAGCTCCTCGCCGGCATGATGGAGATGCTCTGGGGCGGCAGCTTCGAGAGCCCGTGCGGCCTCAAGTACTTCCGCCGCGCGGTCCCTGGCGAGGGCCAGGAGCAGGTGGGCCATGACGACTGCCCTTACTGGTCCCAGGACGGCAACCACGACTGCGCCGCCATCCACGATCACCTCCACGAGGTGCGGTCGTGCATGCCAGCCGCGCTGGGCCCTGGCGAGGACCTTGCGAACTCCGCGACGGCGCGCGGCTTCTGGGTGGCTGCCGCGGCGTCGATGTCTGGGCTCGCCGCGTCGGCGTAGGCGAGCAGAGCAAGCGCTGGGCTTGCGGTTGCACCCTCCTAAGAGGAGGAGGAGGAGGAGGAGGAGCAGGAGGAGGAGGAGGAGGAGGAGGAGCTCCTCCCTCCGTTCCTCTTGCGTCGGACCTCCGCCCATCCGCCCCCCTGGCGGGGCCAAAGGTGGGCTCGGGGCGCGCGGCGCAGTCGTGATGCCCAATGGAAGGTGTGAACTTTTTGGACGCGCATGTCCCCGCAGATCAGTTGCCACATGTGAATCCTATCCTCACCCCCTACGATTTCTGAGGACGGGTGAGGGTTCACCGCTCGGGATCTCCCGAACGAAATTAGCCCCCAACCCCGTTCGAAATCGTGGGGGGTGGGGGTAGGGTTCACACGTGGCCACCAAGCAGAGTCTGTCACGCGGCACGCGGCAAGATGCGACAGGCGCCGCTAGAGGGGTGCCCTTGGTGCTTCTGTTTCGGAAGTTATGCCCGGCCATGTTTGCCCAGAGTTCCATGGCTACCCTCCCCAATGGACGGGTGGCCCGAGGATTTATTTTTTTAGCTCGCGAAGGCCCGGGCCATAAATTTTCACTCGGCGCACGGCGGGTGCGGCAGGCGCTGCCAGAGGGTGCTCTCTGTTTCGGAAGTGATGCCGGACCACGTTGGCGCAGGTTCGGACGGCTACCCTCCACATTGGACGGATGGCCCGAGGACAGATTTTTTGGGTTGCCCACGCTGGTCGCCCGGTGAGCTTGCGCATTTTGCGATGCTCGAAGGGGTGAGAAGTGTACAGCATTGTTTGTTTTCGAGGGGCACTGATGCAGACAGACATCGAACGCTCTGGAGAGTCTGAAGCTCTCGTTGGCCATGCGGCGCGTACGTTCGAAGTTTTGGGCTCCTCGCCCGGAGAGCGCTGGAGGTGACCGAATCTCCAGGGAGAAAGCAAACAAGACATATTTTCAGTTGATCCCCCTCATTTGACCATTTTTCAATTCAAGTCAGTGGAAAGTGAGGTGCCACCAAACTGTGCCCGTGGCCCCCGGTTTACAACGGCTCCCGCTTGATATTTACTCACAGCTGATTCTCAAATCGCGCTTTCGCGCGGGACTTCCTCATATTTTTTACAGGAATCGCGCTGTTGCTTGGGACTTCTTCGCACTTTATTCAGACGCCGGCCCTTCATCTTCAGCCTCCATTCAGGTAGCCCCCAATTGCCACCCGCTCGACATCTCTTCCTCTCTCTGTATATAGAGAGAGAGAGAGCGAGAGAGAGAGAGCGAGAGAGAAAGAAAGAAATAAAGCGAGAGAGAGAGAGAGAAAAAAAAAAAGAAGAGATAATGCATTACAATATATACTTTTATATGTATATATGTATATATACACATACATACACAGAGAAGGAATACATAGGTTCGCTGGTGCTAGAAGTGCCCCTGGACCATGGTGCCCCCAGGATTTCCAGGGGGGCCCCGACGGCCTCCAGAGCGCCCTTCACGAGGCCCAGAGGCCCCATGGGCTCCAAACCGAAAATCTGGGGGCACCTTGGGGCTTGCCTCGTTTTCGTTTTCTCGCCCTCCTGTGAAGACCTCGTTGCCGCCGCTGGGTTCGCTTCAGAATGCTGGAGAGGTCCGGGGGGTAACAGTATCGTTGCCTCTGAGCTTCCCCCGGGATATCGGCGGCGTCGCTCCACCGAGGGGAGGCGATCCCCAACGGAGCGAAGCAGACCTGGCGAGGGCTCGAGCTGCATTGCTGGCGGCAAAGCTGGCGACCATCGAGTAGAGGAGTCTCGGGATATCAGGCCTCGCCCCCGTCCCACGTCCTCGGCGCTGTACCTCCTGCTCGTCCTGTTCCCCTCCTCCCGTTTGCCCCCCCCTGGGGGCGCATTCCTCCATTCGCTGGCCCGAAATCAGCTCCCGAGTTCGATGTGGCCTCGCGCACTGCGGTTCCTCACGTTCCTCCTCCTGCTCCTGCTCCTCCTCCTCCTCCTCCTCCTCCTCCTCCTCTTCGTCCTCGTCCTCCTCCCCAGCATCGTCATCAATTCCTGGCGCGGAGCGCTTGTCCTGGCTGGGGGGAGGTTCCAGGCAGGGCTCGAGCGAAGACGTGGTTCCGCGCGATCTCGCGGGCCGCTCTCGCTTGGGATGGCGAACGAAGCCAGCACGAGGGAGCACGAGCACAGCACGAAAACGGTGAACACTGCTGATGGTGGGCCAATCTCTCTCCTCCTCCTCCTCCTCCTCCTCCTCCTCCTCCTCCTCCTCCTCCTCCTCCTCCTCCTCCCTCCCTCTGCATATGGTAGTGGTGGTGGGAAATCGGCCCATCAGCTTAGCTCGAGCCCTGGCTCCAGGTCGAGCCCTGGCTCCAGGGTCCATAGAACCCGTGCCCCTCAGGACACCCGCGTGCTTCATGCTGCACGCCTGCCACCTGTCACTTCCAGCGGCGAGGGAGGGGGGTAAGTGAGAAGGAGAAGATCTTCTCAGAAGGCGGCGGGGCTTCTCTCTCGAAGAAGAAAAAACATCATAAACATGAACTTTTGGCGCTCCGCACGGATTTCTTGGATCTGCGCTGGGCCCCCCTGGCGGCGCTTCCGGCTTCGCCCCAGGGGGGTTCCAGCGCAGATCCAAGACACCCACTGAGCGCCAACAGTTTCCTTTATAATTTCAGAAGCCCTCCAGCCTTCTGAGAAGTTTTGTGATGATGATGATGATGAGGATGCTGATGATGATGATGAGGAGGAGGAGGGGGAGGAGGAAGATGGGGAGGATGATGGTGATGAGGAGGAGGAGGAGGAAGAAAGAGGAGGAGGAGGAGGAGGAGGTGGAGCAGGAGGAGCAGGAAGGGGAAGAGGAGGACAGGAGGAAAAGGAGGAGGAAGAGGAGGAGGAAGAGGAGGAGGAGGAAGAAAAGGAGGAGGAAAAGGAGGAGGAAGAGGAGGGCGGGGAGGCCCCCGGGGCGGAGTCGTATCTGACCCCCCCATCCACTTCGGGACCCCCTCCCCCCGACGGGGGAGGGATCAAAGGGAAGGAGCTTTTCTTTGACGTGATTACGACTTGGGTCGATTTCCCTCAAGGCCGCTAGAGCACTGCAACGACGACGATGACGACGACGACGAGGACGAACAACCCCTCACACACGCCGACCATGACATCTCCACCTCCTCCTCCTCCTCCTCCTCCTCCTCCGGGGATTTCATGGTCACAGGGCCGGTGGATCATTATTGTATGTATTGTTGTTGTTTTTGTTGCTGTTGTTGTTGTTGTCTTTGCTGTTGTTGTTGTCGTTGTCGTTGTCGTTGTCGTTGTCGTTGTTGGTGTAGTAGTGGTAGTAGTAGTAGTAGTAGTAGTAGTAGTAGTAGTAGTAGTAGTAGTAGTAGTAGTAGTAGTAGTAGTAGTAGTAGTAGTAGTAGTAGTAGTAGTAGTCGTAGTAGTCGTAGTAGTCGTAGTAGTCGTAGTAGTCGTAGTAGTCGTAGTAGTCGTAGTAGTCGTAGTAGTAGCAGTAGCAGTAGTAGTAGTAGTAGTAGTAGTAGTAGTAGTAGTAGTAGTAGTAGTAGTAGTAGCAGTAGTAGCAGTATTGGTAGTAGTAGTACTTGTTGTTATTGATATTGTTGTTGTTGTAGTAGCAGTAGTAGTAGTAGAAGAAAAAGAAGAAGTATTATTATTATTCGTATTATTATTAGTAGTAGTATTAGTAGTAGTAGTAGTAGTAGTAGTAATCGTAGTAGTAATCGTAGTAGTAGTAGTAGTAGTAGTAGTAGTAGTAGTAGTAGTAGTAGTAGTAGTAGTAGTAGTAGTCGTAGTAGTAATAGTAGTAGTAGTAGTTGTGGTTGTTGTTGTTGTTGTTGTTGTTGTTGTTGTTGTTGTGTTGTTGTTGTTGTTGTTGCTGTTGTTGTTGTTGTTGCTGTTGTTGGTTATGCCGTTGGACTACCCTTTCTGAATAATAATTTTGGTTGATCCCCTTGGTTCAAGCCGTTTCAGCTCAAGCTTTTCAAGAATACAAGCCTCTTTCGGGCCATTCTGCTGTGGCCGCACCCGCCCTCAGCCCGTCCCTGTGGTCTACGAGGGCGGCTCCGAGCCATGGCCATCTCCGTCCAGAAGATCCGTCTCGTCGCCGCGCTGGCCCTCAGCCCGTGGGTGGCGTCGGCGGGCGAGTGCCCAGTCGGGGCGGCCCCATTCCCGAGCGGCATGGCCAGCGCTGGCAGGCAGCAGTACGCCAACTTGTTCGACATCTCGTACTACGGCACGTACAAGGTGGTCCACTTCTCCGACACGCTGGGGACGTACAAGAGCTCACATCCCACAAAGGCCAACGAGAGAATCCCTGACATCGTTCTCTGGCAGTGCGGCACGACCAAACCAGCCTTCGGCTCCCCAGGGATCGATGACGCGTTCGCCCGCTTCTTCGAGATTCCGATCCAGAGGGCAACGCTGCCGTTGGCCATCTCGCTGCCGCAGTTCGAGCTGCTGTCGGTTACGGAGAAGATATACGCTATGGATTTCACGTACGTGTCTTCTGCATGTGCGCAACTGATGGAGGAGTGTGTGCCGAGCCTTCACGTCACCAGCAGCGATGATAACTATTCGGCGATCGCCGCAGTGGAGCCAGGCTCCGTCGTCTTCACAAACTCGTTCGGCACAGGCTACACCAACACTGACTGGGACGTCGAGTACCAGAGCAGCGTTGATCCTGCGATTCTGAACCGCGCAGAATGGACCAACTTCGTTGGAGCGTTTTTCAACCTCGAAGCCCAGGCCAAGGAGATCTTCTCGACGATTGAGGCGGACTACTTGGCCATGAAGAGTTTAGGCTCGCAGCTGGGCTTGGACTCGAACACCGAGTGGGGTGGGCGTCAGCCTCAGGTGATTTGGGTTGAAGCCCTGGGGGACACGACGTGCGCCGGAGCTGATGACTGCGTCGACGACGGCGACGACGCCATCATCGGTTGGACGCAGCCTGGAGGCGCTGGCAGCAACTGGTGCAAATGCGGGGGCTGGCAAATCAACACCAATCATTACAAGAAGAATCTCGTGGAGGACGCCGGCGGGAAGCTGGTGGCTCTGCCGCAGACCACCCCAGACGGGTGCGTGACCTCGGTGGGCACGGACGGCTCGGCGAGGCTCGGGTGCGGCGGAGAGAAAGGCCTCGCGTCCTTCAGGGCCTTCCTGGCGGAGGCCGACGTCATTGTCGACGAGACCTACATCTCTGGACACGACACCGCCGCCCACGACTTCGCGGGCTCCTTCTACGTGACGGCGGCGGATGTGCCGGCGCTCGCCCGCGACCCCGTCAACATCTTCCGCGCCGATGGCACCGTCAGCGACAGCAGGGGCGGGGCCGTCGGCAGCGCGTGGTTCGATTGGGGGCAGGCCGAGCCGCAGCAGCTCCTCGCCGGCATGATGGAGATGCTCTGGGGCGGCAGCTTCGAGAGCCCGTGCGGCCTCAAGTACTTCCGCCGCGCGGTCCCTGGCGAGGGCCAGGAGCAGGTGGGCCATGACGACTGCCCTTACTGGTCCCAGGACGGCAACCACGACTGCGCCGCCATCCACGATCACCTCCACGAGGTGCGGTCGTGCATGCCAGCCGCGCTGGGCCCTGGCGAGGACCTTGCGAACTCCGCGACGGCGCGCGGCTTCTGGGTGGCTGCCGCGGCGTCGATGTCTGGGCTCGCCGCGTCGGCGTAGGCGAGCAGAGCAAGCGCTGGGCTTGCGGTTGCACCCTCCTAAGAGGAGGAGGAGGAGGAGGAGGAGGAGGAGGAGGAGGAGGAGGAGGAGCTCCTCCCTCCGTTCCTCTTGCGTCGGACCTCCGCCCATCCGCCCCCCTGGCGGGGCCAAAGGTGGGCTCGGGGCGCGCGGCGCAGTCGTGATGCCCAATGGAAGGTGTGAACTTTTTGGACGCGCATGTCCCCGCAGATCAGTTGCCACATGTGAATCCTATCCTCACCCCCTACGATTTCTGAGGACGGGTGAGGGTTCACCGCTCGGGATCTCCCGAACGAAATTAGCCCCCAACCCCGTTCGAAATCGTGGGGGGTGGGGGTAGGGTTCACACGTGGCCACCAAGCAGAGTCTGTCACGCGGCACGCGGCAAGATGCGACAGGCGCCGCTAGAGGGGTGCCCTTGGTGCTTCTGTTTCGGAAGTTATGCCCGGCCATGTTTGCCCAGAGTTCCATGGCTACCCTCCCCAATGGACGGGTGGCCCGAGGATTTATTTTTTTAGCTCGCGAAGGCCCGGGCCATAAATTTTCACTCGGCGCACGGCGGGTGCGGCAGGCGCTGCCAGAGGGTGCTCTCTGTTTCGGAAGTGATGCCGGACCACGTTGGCGCAGGTTCGGACGGCTACCCTCCACATTGGACGGATGGCCCGAGGACAGATTTTTTGGGTTGCCCACGCTGGTCGCCCGGTGAGCTTGCGCATTTTGCGATGCTCGAAGGGGTGAGAAGTGTACAGCATTGTTTGTTTTCGAGGGGCACTGATGCAGACAGACATCGAACGCTCTGGAGAGTGAAGCTCTCGTTGGCCATGCGGCGCGTACATTCGAAGTTTTGGGCTCCTCCGCACCGGAGAGCGCTGGAGGTGACCAAATGTCCAGGGAGAAAGCAAAACAAGACATATTTTCAGTTGATCCCCCCCTCATTTGACTATGTCATTTTTCAATTCAAGTGCTCCTCCCGGGGCTCGCACCCTGTCTTTTACAAGGGAAAGTGAGGTGCCACCAAACTGTGCCCGTGGCCCCCGGTTTACAACGGCTCCCGCTTGATATTTACTCACAGCTGATTCTCAAATCGCGCTTTCGCGCGGGACTTCCTCATATTTTTTACAGGAATCGCGCTGTCGCTTGGGACTTCTTCGCACTTTATTCAGACGCCGGCCCTTCATCTTCAGCCTCCATTCAGGTCACCCCCAATTGCCACCCGCTCGACATCTCTTCCTCTCTCTGTATATATATATAGAGAGAGAGAGAGAGCGAGAGAGAAAGAAAGAAATAAAGCGAGAGAGAGAGAGAGAAAAAAAAAGAAGAGATAATGCATTACAATATATACTTATATATGTATATATGTATATATACACATACATACACAGAGAAGGAATACATAGGTTCGCTGGTGCTAGAAGTGCCCCTGGACCATGGTGCCCCCAGGATTTCCAGGGGGGCCCCGACGGCCTCCAGAGCGCCCTTCACGAGGCCCAGAGGCCCCATGGGCTCCAAACCGAAAAGCTGGGGGCACCTTGGGGCTTGCCTCGTTTTCGTTTTCTCGCCCTCCTGTGAAGACCTCGTTGCCGCCGCTGGGTTCGCTTCAGAATGCTGGAGAGGTCCGGGGGGTAACAGTATCGTTGCCTCTGAGCTTCCCCCGGGATATCGGCGGCGTCGCTCCACCGAGGGGAGGCGATCCCCAACGGAGCGAAGCAGACCTGGCGAGGGCTCGAGCTGCATTGCTGGCGGCAAAGCTGGCGACCATCGAGTAGAGGAGTCTCGGGATATCAGGCCTCGCCCCCGTCCCACGTCCTCGGCGCTGTACCTCCTGGTCGTCCTGTTCCCCTCCTCCCGTTTGCCCCCCCCTGGGGGCGCATTCCTCCATTCGCTGGCCCGAAATCAGCTCCCGAGTTCGATGTGGCCTCGCGCACTGCGGTTCCTCACGTTCCTCCTCCTGCTCCTGCTCCTCCTCCTCCTCCTCCTCCTCCTCCTCCTCTTCGTCCTCGTCCTCCTCCCCAGCATCGTCATCAATTCCTGGCGCGGAGCGCTTGTCCTGGCTGGGGGGAGGTTCCAGGCAGGGCTCGAGCGAAGACGTGGTTCCGCGCGATCTCGCGGGCCGCTCTCGCTTGGGATGGCGAACGAAGCCAGCACGAGGGAGCACGAGCACAGCACGAAAACGGTGAACACTGCTGATGGTGGGCCAATCTCTCTCCTCCTCCTCCTCCTCCTCCTCCTCCTCCTCCTCCTCCTCCTCCTCCTCCTCCTCCTCCTCCCTCCCTCTGCATATGGTAGTGGTGGTGGGAAATCGGCCCATCAGCTTAGCTCGAGCCCTGGCTCCAGGTCGAGCCCTGGCTCCAGGGTCCATAGAACCCGTGCCCCTCAGGACACCCGCGTGCTTCATGCTGCACGCCTGCCACCTGTCACTTCCAGCGGCGAGGGAGGGGGGTAAGTGAGAAGGAGAAGATCTTCTCAGAAGGCGGCGGGGCTTCTCTCTCGAAGAAGAAAAAACATCATAAACATGAACTTTTGGCGCTCCGCACGGATTTCTTGGATCTGCGCTGGGCCCCCCTGGCGGCGCTTCCGGCTTCGCCCCAGGGGGGTTCCAGCGCAGATCCAAGACACCCACTGAGCGCCAACAGTTTCCTTTATAATTTCAGAAGCCCTCCAGCCTTCTGAGAAGTTTTGTGTATCTTCGGGGAGGACTTGGACACCCTTCTCAGAGGGCCGGAGGAGTTCCGAGCCTGCTGGGAAGGCCGCCCCTTCTCTTTTCCCCCCGCGCTCGCCGCCAACACACTCGCCGCTTGCAGTGCCTCGCCCGGAAGCCCCCCACGGGTCAGCGGAGGGGAAGAAACCGATACCGTTGTTCGTCCCAGAGAGCGCTCATCCACACGGCTGGATTCTCCTCCTGGCTCTGATCAGAACGCACCTGGGAGATGCCCGGGCAGTGGCGGTGTCGGCATTGTGGAGGAGGAGGAGGAGGAGGAGGAGGAGCAGGAGCAGGAGCAGGAGCAGGAGCAGGAGGAGGAGGAGCAGGAGGAGGAGGAGAAAGAGGAGGAGGAGGAGCAGGAGGAGGAGGAGGAGAAGGAGGAGGAGCAGGAGGAGGAGGAGGAGGAGGAGGAGGGGGAACGAGGAGGAGGAGGAGGAGGAGGAGGAGGAGGAGGAGGGAGGAGGAGGAGGAAGAGGAGAAGGAGCAGGAGGTACCGTTTTGCTCCCCGGCTGGAGGCCTGCACGATGGCCGTTTTCGGCCCCGACGAGCAGATGCGGCTGCGGCTGTTCCTGGCCAACCTCGGCCGGGGAGGGAGGGCGGCAGCAAGCTCACCGAGTCGGACGCACAGATTAGCAGTCTTTCGCTTGCTCCTCTTCCTCTTCCTGTCTTGCCTCCCTTCCGCGCTTCGGAGGAACTGTATCGGTGCAGAGGCGATGAGAGTAAGTGAACGTTCGGGATTGCTTTCTAATCCTGATGGCGTAATCCTGATAAGTGATGGCGTAATCCTGGTAATCCTTCTCCTCCTTCCTCTTTCCTCCTCCTCCTCCTCCTCCTCCTTCCTCTTTCCTCCTCCTCCTCCTCCTAGCCCCCACGCTCGAGCATTTTGCCAGGATGGGGGGGGGGGGCTCTCAACACCGTCGCGCCGCACAGCCCGTTGCCTTCGCGACGGCCTCGCTGCAGATGGCGCTGTTTTGGGCACCTGCACTGAGAGCGATTAGATAAAATCCAATGTGGGCGAGTGGGTTGAGATTGCAGGAGATTCTTCACCATACGACGAATTACGACGCGGTGTTAGTGTGAGGCACGCTGACGGTGTACAGGAAGGCTGACGGTCGGAGGTGAGGGGGTGAGATCGAAGTGGAACGGAGAGCCCCCCTACCGGGAAATCGATTTCGGTTTCGTGTTCGTGCGTGCCGTGCGGGCGAGGCGAGGCGAAGCTGCGTGGGCGGGCGAGAGGAAAGTCTCCTGTGGCTGAGGCCCGGCCGGACCAAATGATTCTCCACCGGGCGGCCGGTGGCGCGCGGTGTCCCGCCGGTGTCCGCCGGTGTCCCGCGGTGTCCCGCGGTGTCCCGCGGTGCCCCGCGGTGTCCCGCCGGTGTCCCGCGGTGTCCCGCGATGATGATGATTATGATGATGATGATGATGATGATGATGATGATGATGATGATAATGATAATGATGATGAGATGATGATGATGATGATGATGATGATGATGATAATGATGATGATGATGATGATATGATGATGATGATGATGATGATGGTGATGCTGATGATAATGATGATGATGCTGCTGATGATGATGTTGATGACGGTGCTGATGATGATGATGATGGTGATGCTGATGATGATGATGATGATGAGGACGATGATGATGATGATGAGGATGATGATGATGATATGATGATGATGATGGTGTCCCGATGATGATGATGATGATGATGATGATGGTGATGATGATGATGATGATGATGTCGATGATGATGATGCGATGATGATGATGATGATGCTGATGGTGTCCCGATGATAAGGATGATGATGCTCATGATGCTGATGTTGATGATCATGATGATGACGACGATGGTGTCCCGATGATGATGAGTATGATGATGGTGATGTTGATGATGCTGATTATGATTGTGTCCCGATGTCGATGATGTTGATGATGATGACGTTGATGATGATTATGGCGTCCCGATGATGATGATGATTATTCTGATGATGATGATGTTGCTGATGATGGCGTCCCGATGGTGGTGATGATGATGATGATGTTCATGCTGATGTTGGTAATGATGATGATGGTGCCCCGATGATGACGATGATGATGATGCTGATGATGATGATGCTGATGATGATGATGTCGATGATGAGGATGAGATGATGATGATGATGATGGTGTCCCGATGATGATGATGATGATGATGATGATGCTGATGATGATGATGATGATGATGATAACGATGGTGATCATGATGGTGTCCCGATGATGCTGCTGCTGATGATAATGACGATGACTGTGTCCCGATGCTGCTGATGATGATGATGATGATGTT